TGCCTTCAATCCATGAGGATTTCTTAAAAATCCGCCGCAAAGAAACTCGAAGATGAGTGATGCTCAACAAGAAATCCACTTCTACTAGCGTACCTGAGACCTCGACATTTTATTATGAGGTTTATATCAACAAGCAGACTGTTCCATATTCACAGAAGAATGAGGAGAAACCTCGGGTGTGGTGTGATCATTGCAACAGACCACGACACACTAAAGAAAACTGTTGGTACCTTCACGGTAAATCTGCAGATTGGAAGCCAAGAAACAAGCGCAAGCCACCTACTGCAAATGCTGCTACCGAACAAGCCAACCCATTTAACAAAGAACAAATCGATCAACTCCTGAATCTGCTAAACCCCATTATGGCTGCTGGTACCCCAAAGTGTTCGATGATACATGCAAGTAGAAAACTAAACCCTTAGATTATTGATTCTGGAGCTTCTGATCATATGACAAATATACATTATTTATTTTATTCATACATCTCATGCTCTGGCCATGAAAATGTTCATATTGCTAACGGTAGTTTCTCTTCCATTGCTGAAAAATGAAACATTAACATGTCCAAGAGTATATGTTTTAAATTTGTACACCATGTTTCAAAACTTAAATGTACATTCTATCTGTCAGCAAACTTTCAAAGGATTCTAGCTGTCGTATAATTTTCTGTGAATCTTCTTGTGTTTTTCAAAACCAGAAGTCGGGGATGATGATTGAGAGAGCTAAAAATATAGGAGGACTTTACTACTTTGAGGAGACTGTTCCTAGTAAAAAAATGGTTCAAGCTTACAACATTATGAGTTATAACTCTGCATTAGAAAAAATAATGGAATTACATCTTAGAGCAGGTCATCCAGGTTTTTTTATTTAAGACATTTATTTCCTAATTTACTTAAGTGTGTTAATTGTGTTTTACTTCAATGTGAAACGTGTTATTTGACAAAAAATCATCGCATAAATTTTGTTCCAAAACCATACTATCATTCAAAACCTTTCTTCATAATACATAGTGATGTTTGGGGACCTTCAAAAGTCAAAATATTATATGAGAAAAGGGAATTTGTGACTTTTATTGACGATCACACCAAAATATGTTAAATTTATTTTATAAGCAAAAAATCAGAAGTTGAAAAACTTTTTAAAGATTTTTACAACATGATTGAAACTCAATTTGAAACTAGAATATGCATCCTTAGATTGACAATGAAACTGAATATTTTAATAAATATTTAGGGAAGTTTTAAATAAAGAAAAACATAATTCATCAATCTACTTGTCATGACACTCCACAACAAAATTGAATTGCTGAAATAAAAAATAGACATTTATTTGAGATTGCTCGGGTCATTATGTTTTCAATGAACGTTCCTAAATATTTATGGGGGAACACTGTTTTAACAACATCATATTTAATAAACCGAATGCCAACTCGAGTTTTACAATATATAACTCCTCTAAATAAACTTAAAAATAATTTTTAAATTCTATGAATATCTTCAAATATTCTTTTAAAATTTTTGGATGCACATGTTTCTTTCATATTCCGAATAAATTTCGAGCAAAATTAGATCGAAAATCGGAAAAATGCATTTTCCTTGGATATGCTTCAAACAAAAAGGGTTACAAATTCTTTAATCTTGTCACAAAAAAAGTACATTAGTATGGATGTGATCTTCATGGAAAAAACTTCATTCTTTCACAAAAATTCACTTAAGAGGGAGTATAATACAGATAGAGAAGATGATTTTTGGCAAACTTCTAATTCATTATCAAGAATTGTTTAAACACCAAATACACCTGACGTCCGTGAAAATAAAGAACCCGAAATAGTTGTTGAAAGTAATAAAAAACAAGAGTTTCCTAGTCAAGAGATACTTGAAATTATATTGTTTAATACAGGGAGAGAAATACTGCATAATACAACAGCAGAACCTCTGGTTTATTCCAGGACGATTTATTCCACAGGACGAGGTTCCATAAAAGGAAAAATATCCAAGTTGAATCTTTAGCTCCCTCCCAATCTGAAGAACCGAATGATGCTCCTGAAGAACACAAGTAATTTCCAATCTTGACCTTATTTTTTTACCAACAGAAGCTCAAAATTCAGAGGTTGTGAATCTGGATCTTCTTATAGTCTTTAGAAAAGGAACACGTTCTTGTACTACCAAATGCCCCTTTTCGAAATATCTATCTTACAAAAAAATCTCACACAAACATCAAGTTTTTTTTGTCAAAAATTTCTAATTTGTCTAGACCCATAACAATATAGGGAGCTTTTAGTAATCTAAATTGAAGAATAGCAGTAAAGGAAGAGATGGATGCTCTCTTGAAAAATGAAGCCTGGGAAGTTGTTACTCTACCAAGAGACAAGTCTACTGTTAGGTGTAAATGAGTCTTCACTACTAAAGTCAAAGCTGATGGGAGTGTCGAAAGATACAAAACGAGATTAGTAGTGAAAAGATTCACTCAAACTCACGGAATTGACTATCAGGAGACATTCGCTCTGGTAGCCAAGATCAATTCTATTCGCGTTCTGCTGTCCATAGCAGCAAATCATGATTGACCCTTGCATTAGCTCGAAGTTCAAAATGCTTTTCTAAACGATGTATTAGAGGAGTTTTTCATGGATCTTCCACCCGGATTTGAGAAGAAGTTTGGAGAAGACAAAGTGTGCAAATTGAAGAAATCCTTGTCTGGGTTCAAGCAATCTCCTCGCACCTGGTTTGAGAGGTTTTGAAATGTGATTACAAAATATGGATACACTCAGAGTCAAGCTGATCATATTATGTTCTATAAACATTCAGAAACTTGTAAACTCGCTATACTCATTGTCTATTTCGATGATATTATCCTTATAGGAAATGATGCTAGGGAAATTGAGATATTGAAAGAAGTATTGGCCATAGAATTTGAGATTAAAAATCTGGGAGATGTAAAGTACTTTCTCAGTATTGAGTTTGTCAGATCTAATGAGGGGATATTTATTAATCAACGAAAGTATGTACTCGACTTACTCAGTGAAACCGGAATGCTTGGGTGCAAAACAACTGAAACCCCGTTTGAACCAAATAAAATGTTACAAGTGACAAATAAAATAGATGGTGTTAATAAAAAACAATATAAAAACTGGTGGGAAGACTAATCTAGTTATCACACACTCGTCTTGATATAGCCTTTGTTGTTAGCATGAGAAGTCAGTTTATGCACTCTCCAAATACTCATCACTTGGAGACTATCTGTTGGATCCTTAGGTATCTGAAAGGAAACCCCGGAAGAGGACTATTGTTCAAGAAAAATAAGCACTTACAGATAGAAACATTTGTTGATGCAGATTGGGCTGGGAGTGTTACAAATAGAAGGCCAACCTCAGGGTACTGCACTTTTTTAGGTGGAAACTTAGTAACCTGGAGGAGTAAGAAAGAAAGTGTCGTGGCAAGAAGCAGTGCTGAAGTTGAATTCAAATCTGTGGCTCATAAGATATGTGAAGTTCTATGGATTAGAAGAATTCTCAAGGAGTTAAAAATTCATAGTCCATCACCAATAAAAGTGTATTGTGATAATAAGTCTGCCATCGTCATTGCCATCGCCATCGCTCACAGACCTGTCCTTCATGATAGAACAAAGCACGTAGAGATAGACAAACACTTCATCAAAGAAAAAAATTGACAGAGGAGATATCTACATGGTGTATGTTCCCTCCAACAACAAACAGTGAATATTCTAACAAAGGGTCTTCACAAAAAACAGTTCGACGGTTTAGTGTGCAAGCTGGCTCTGAAAGATATCTTCATGCCAACTTAAAGGGGAGTGTTGAAAGATCTACTTTAAATTATAGAATTTATTCTCTTTCCTCTTATACAAAATTTATTATTCTTCCTTCTTTAGATTATTTGGTAGATGTACAAAATCATGCTTAATTAGCCTTGTAATATAATAGGAAATATTTGTAACCTATTTAGTTGTTTTCCTTATTTAGGAGGTGGGATTCCTATATGTAAATGTACCTGGTATTGCATCAGTAAGAAAGAACGAATTTCTCTCCAAATTTACCCTATTTTTTATGCAAGTTAATTGAAAATATCATGCTGGTGAAAGAGTTTCTAAGAAAATGCTCCAGTTTGGGGATCTTCTGAAATGTGCACATGCATTTGAGTTCTTTAACATGAGAGGAATTTTATAGCGATGATTAATTTTGGGTTAGAAAACACGAAATACAAATACTTACCTCTTTTATTTTGTCCCATATTTTATCACTTGTGATAGAAATGTGTAATCCTTCATCCCACCCTAGCCTCTCATATTAGATAGTTGATAAGACATTCTAAATCTTGATTTCACGCTCTTGAATCTTGGCATAATAGTTGTCTCTATATATGTTATTCTTAATCATCTGTTCAAGATATTCATAACTACACACCATTGTACATGTTTGCGTTCAAAAATTGCTCTTGAAGCAACTTGCCAAAATATTTTATTGTGCTTCTTAGGTCACTTTGGTGTTCTGCCATAACCGTTTTATTGGCCTGCGTGGATTAACACATCTTCGTTAGTAAATGGGTATGAGCTAGAACTTAACACTATTGTTGAACACTGGTGTATATTTATCAATGTGATTTATCAAAACAGCGTCATCAAAGATAAAAAAATCTCGTGGGATTTATCACATTAGCGGGCTTTTAAATTAAGAAGAAAAAACATTTGGCGGGATTAAACTAAATCTTTTTTTTATCTAATTTTGACTATAGGATACCAATCTACCCTCCTTTAATTTCAGCTTATCTGCTTCGTTTTTCATATGATTTTTTATCTAGTATTTTTTTATATTTACCTTGCCTGCAAATGATGTTTGGCCGGGCATTAATGCCTTCACTTTCTGTATGATGGTTTTTAGTATTAGACAAAAAACAACATAAAGTAGACTTGGTTAACTAACTTCTCAGTTTTTATTTTTTTATTATTTGAAATCATGGAAAGGATTCTCTTGATGTTTAAATTACCAGGGCTAAGGATTATTTTTAATGGCATCGAGGGAGGACAATGCCATACCTGTCTCTCTTACCAAAGGGGTACCTGCAGTGGCTAATCCTTCTGCCAGGCAGCCGTCTGAAGTTGCCTCCAACATTGTATACCACACTCAATTCAGCCCTCATTTTTCACCGCTCAAATTTGACCAGGAGCACGCTTTTTATGCTACAGCGCTAAGTGTCCGTGATAACCTGATTCAGGTGATCTAACTTCCTTTATTGTTGCAAAGAGGGACCTATTTGTTTATTTCTATCATTATTTGTTTCTCGTTGAAAATTTTCATGTTTCTATGAATGCTAGAATAGAAAATGGTCTCATCTTTCCTTGACTCCAATTTTATTGACTGCAGAGATGGAATGATACATACTTTCATTTTCACAAGCATGATCCCAAGCAAACCTATTACTTGTCCATGGAGTATTTACAAGGCCGTGCTCTTACTAATGCTATTGGGAACCTTGACATTGAAGGAGCATATGCCGATGCTTTGAATAAACTGGGGCATGAAATTGAAGAAATTGCTGAAAAGGTTTGTTCATCTTATCATAAAATGTTTTACTTTCATGGACCCTATTTCATTATATTATCAAGGGCGTTCATTTAATCTGTTTTTGTTTGCTTTATAGCTATAGGTTCTGACTTTAGTGTATGAAACTAAAATAAATTGAGTGTTTTTAGGAGAAAGATGCAGCTCTAGGAAATGGAGGCTTGGGTAGGCTTGCATCTTGCTTTCTAGATTCAATGGCAACTCTAAACTTACCTGCATGGGGTTATGGTTTGCGATATAGATATGGCCTTTTTAAGCAGAAGATTTCCAAAGAGGGCCAAGAAGAGCTAGCTGAAGATTGGCTGGAGGTATCATACATGGCACTTGTTATTTAAAGATACATACTTAAAAAATCTTCTTTTTTTTTTTTTGAACAAGCTATGCTCTTTGATATTTTGAACAAGCTATGCTCTTTGATATAAATTTGACAGAAGTTCAGTCCTTGGGAGGTTGTACGGCATGATGTTGTTTTTCCTGTAAGATTTTTCGGCCATGTTGAGATATCTTCAACAGGATCGTAAGTGAAGATCTAAGTTTGTATCTCAATTGTAGTTGATGGTAGCCTTATTTTGGGAAAAAAATTTTTATTTAAACACTTTTTGTGAAGAATCATATAGAAAAAAAAAGAGTGTTTGTTTTGTTTATTCTTTCAATCAGTATTTACGCACAAAATTACCTCAAAAAATAATTGAAAACTACTGATTATAAAAAAAATTACAAAATTTTACATACCCAAAAATGAAGTTATTCTTTATGAAGCTTATGATATATGCTTTCTCCATCATACATGATATACCTGAAAGTCTTAAAATACCCCCATGTGGAATTTTGTGGATGCTATTGCCTTAGCTTATGGTGTTGCGCTATTCTTCTCATCCAACTTTGATTAAGTGACATATGCCAGAGGTTTCCCTCGATAATGGGGTTTGTAATGTTATGCCATGATTGAATTGATTAGGAAGGATTACAAAGAAAATTAGAATTAATGCACAATGGTAATATAGTTAGGATTAGAATGAACAAAGATAATGTAGTTAGAATTAATGCACGATGACTTGCATAGTGAAGTCAGCACCTCATCTTGAAATCTGCACCAGTGATTGTGAAGGGAGGATTCATAAATCTGATTCAAAATAGTTGTCGTACTGCTTGGAATGTGATATATAGATACAAACCTTCAGTTCAGGGCTTAGCACAGCCTTCAATCAGCATTACAATAGTGAATGACTTGGTTCTAATGTTTAATTTTCATGAAATTTTGCCTTAAAAAATCTAAAAGTTGAAGAAAGATTGAAGAAATAATTGGTAAGGTCTGTTCCTGATCCAGCAGTAAAGTTAAAAATTTGCTTGAAGGAGATTTTAGGTTAATTGCTGTTTGATAATTTTTTTGGCAAATTAGCTTTGGAGTAAGAAGCATGGAGAAGTATTTACCATGCTTGTATCTTTAGCTTTGTTGATATCTTTCAATGCAAAACTTACACAGCTTAATTTTATTTTGTTTTTACATTCTATGCAGCGTTGAACGAATGATCCATCTCATAAAATTTTTCATGAACTAGATAAAACTATTTCACTGAAGAACTGCCCAATGTAGACCCATTAGGTTTCTATTAACATTGGTTGTCTGATTTTTGCAGTAGGAAATGGGTTGGAGGAGAGGTTCTTCAGGCACTTGCATATGATGTTCCTATTCCTGGATATAAAACGAAAAATACAATAAGCCTTCGCCTATGGGATGCAAAAGCAAGTGCTGAAGATTTCAATCTATTTCAGTTCAATGATGGACAGTATGAATCAGCTGCTTCGCTGCACTCTAAAGCACAGCAGGTTTTCTATCGTGCTTTTCTGTTTGAATGTTGCTAGACCTCTTGTTAGCTAAATTCAGGTACATGAACAGCACGGTCTGATTTAGAGACCATTTGATAAATTGTTGGCTCAAGCTTCGCAAATTACATGTAATCAATCCTTGTGTCATTGTTTGCAGCTTGTCCTTGATGGATTGATTGAAGCTTTGATTAATTTAACCTGCCATATTTTGATTTTAGTTCGTTATGATATCCCACTACTTATGCATCTTTCCTCAATTATATGCTATGATTCATTCCTGGAACGTAATATTGGTGTGTATCTTTTCTTGTGATAGGTGGATTCATCTTTTTTACTTGCTTTCTTGACCAATTTCAAATTATTTCATTTTAGATATGCGCTGTCTTATACCCCGGTGATACTACAGAAAATGGAAAGATTCTACGGCTGAAACAACAATTCTTCCTTTGCAGTGCATCACTCCAGGCAAGCCACATATCATAACAACAAATAGACTAAATTTTATGCACGTTGTATCAAATCTTGGTTATATGATGGATTTTGTATTACTATGCTTACAATGACTTGTTTAATTTGCTGATGTTTGATATGGAAGTTAAACAAATTTTAAGACACATTAGGGGTGGAATCCGTTTTTTAACTCTAGTTTATTTAGGTTTAAACCAAACAATCTGAAGAAATTTCTCAACAAGTGAGAATAAACACATGAGAAACGAGAAAAAGTACAATTCTCTTTCAATGTTTTATGCCCTCTTGTTTGTTTCCCATGCATTAAGGTCCTATTTTTTAGTCCAATTGATAAAAAATAAGAAACTAAACAAATTCAGTAAAATTAATTTAATAGTAACGAGGTTCACCCTTTTAGAATTCCACCAGTAGAAAAATCTTCCAAAATCCCAATTTAGTCAATTGCTATAAGGTTCCAGCAAAATAGGAAGGAAGTTCACGTGAACAGAAAGTAATAGAAGAGTGGGTGTGGGGCTGTAGCTTTGATCAAGAAACATATGCGGTAACAATGGTGTAGTGTGCAGGGAACATAACAAGGTAAAGTAACCAAATCCAGCACGCAAGTAGCTACAATGGATGCCACCGAGGCGGCAATAATTGAGGCGGCTAGAGAAACTTATGAGTAAGACATTGTGTGCAGAGGCTGGAGAGGTTGTCAAAGGGAACATAAGAAGAATACACAATGATGAACAACTAAAAAAATTTCCTGCGTTAATGAAATGGGTAAATAGCATGATGAGGACAATGAATATCCCACAACATTTATGGGGGAAGCGGTGTTGACAACGCTCAATTGATTAACAGAGTGCCCTCATGAGTGCTGGAGTGGAAGTCTCCTTGTCAGTTGTTGAAAGCAGACAGTAGTAGGACTCTTCTATTGAAGGTATTTGAATGTATATGCTTTGTGAAAGATAACCCAGACCATCTGTAGAGAACTTAGATCTCAAAGCTGTGAAATGTGTGTGTGGGGGTTATATTACTACCCAGAAGGGTTATGTTTGCTGGTGCTCGATTGAGAATAGACTCTTTGTGAGTATGAATGTATCATTCAGAGAATTTGAACCATACTACATTCTGTAGGTGAATTTGCCCTTTGGTGACAACAAACGCTAGAGATGAGGCAAGAGAGAGTTAGTAGTAATGGTGTGAGAGTGGTGCAAGTGGGAGCAATGCCATGTTCTGTGATGTGGTATGAATCAATTGAGGAGACGGAAATCGAGGAGATTGACCCCAAAAGTGGTGGGATTCAAGTTGAAGGTGTGTGAAGGGTGTATACACAGAGGAAGAAGAAAACTAAGGGAATAGGGTCTGCAGTGCTAAGAAGTCCCTTGTCCCGGTCTTCCCTAACTCTTGTGATACTTACACCATTCACCTTTGATTCAAAACTCTCAGGTGATATTATTTCTCCTTCGTCCACTCCTAACCACCAACATTAAGGAAGACCTTCCACAACAATACATGACATCCTCTTTATCATTTCGAGTGGGAAATTAACACTGTGAGCTTTATTTTTCATTCTAACATCTCACATTTGCATGGAGTGTTCATTGCATTATTGTACACTGTCTCTATACCCAAATGTTGGCAAACTGCTGTCGGTCAATTTTTTTTCGATTGATTAATTATGAAAATATGGTATATGAAAATAATTTTTGAGATTTAATTTAAGTATAAAAGATATATAGTTTGAGTTTTAAAAGTAGTATGTTTTAATTTTTGAAAAATGAGACCAAATGGATCTCAGTAGTCTGATAGTTTGCATAATCGTGCCTGATACCGCGAATACTACACCCTCCCGAGAGATAAGTGTAGACCTCAGCGATAGACCTAATCCTGCAAACTAAGAGATTTGTGACATCCGTTTGGTCTGCGAACCTTTTATATATGACCGACAAATTCCCCTATTTAATACAAAGATTAAATAGGGTTTATTTTACCTGGGTTCCAAGTTCCCTATAGAGGCAAGCCCCTGTAATTAATTACATCCCGAATGACGGGAGTCATTTGAGAAAACTCTCGATAATGATCAATGGTTCTAGTCTTCAAGAATTCAAAGTTTAGGTTTTCAAGGTAGGACGTGGAAAAAGGCAAGTGAGAGTGGCTCAAATAGGAACAGTTATTTCAGGAGTCCAAATAAAAGAAAAGGTAGGGGATGTCATAGATCCTGAGGAGAATCCCAGTGACTTCCCAAACTATCCTACTGTGTGGCTGCATTTTGGAAAAAATGTTATTTGAATGTTTAATCCTGCCAATTTTATTACTTAGGACTTACATCTTAGGACTTACCGATTATGCAAATAACCCACAGAGAAAGGAGGGTTTACGTCGTACCACACAAATCGTACCGTACGATAACCTCGGAACCTAAATCGAGTTAAGACTCATGTCGCACAACATAGTTGTACAAGAGTCTAAAAAGGGAGTATGAGGATTTACGCCACGCTAGGCGAGTTACCTCGAAGTCCTATGTGTTATTATTATACTAGGAAAAAGATAATGCTGAAGAAGATCTTGCTGCCCGCTCTAAGCTCCTCGTCCTGACGCCCACAAAGTTGGTTTCAAGCTCCTTTCGTCGCGATGATTCTAAGGTTTAAGTGTTTGAGATTGGTGATTTGTGTTTCACAGTTTTGGTGTCAAAGTTTAGTTTTTGTTTTGTTTCAGTTTTGGTTTCAATACCGGTTGTGCATACAACATAATCAAATTGCAGGTAAATAAAAAAAATGTACTTGAAAGGTAAACTGCAGTAAAATAAAATGCTGTAGATAAACTGTAAAAGCTACTGTTGCGTTATTAGTGTTGCGAGCGTAGTATGATTTGCAGTAGATTTAAATAAACTTGCAAGAAAATAAATAAGACAAGAAAACCCAGCATGAAAGTCATAACAAATGAGTAGTAAAAATCACAAGCAAAAGAAACATATGACGACATATGAAAGATCAGGACTGGGTATAAGACTTTGGTGAAAGTGGGGGCTCAGAGCTGGGCTGTGTGCTTCCCGATCTTGAATAAGTGTTGTCAACTTGACATTCTACAGGAGGTAGTTCTTAACCTCAATCCAAGTCTAGCCGTGGACCTTTATAAATTTTCATATTCTTTTATGAAGAGTTCTTTTAATCATGCAAAAGAAATTTTTATTTTATTTTTGTAAATATTTTTGTAAAGTCATACAGTCCACAGACTAGTCACTCTAATCGTGCTAGAACTAATCGTGTAGTCACTCTAATCGTGCTAGAACTACTGACAACCTAAGAATGTCGGGGGCAACAATCCCATCAAGAGTCGTCGAATAGTATCATGGATCTTTTCCTCTCCCTTATTGAAGATCCTTGAGGTTGGAGATATTATGTGATCTATATGTGGCGTCAACATAGTTTGAGATTGGTGATTTGTGTTTCACAGTTTTAGTGTCAAAGTTTAGTTTTTGTTTTGTTTCAGTTTTGGTTTCAGTTCTGGTTTTACATGCAGAGTAGTAAAACTGCAATTAAATAAAAGGTACTTGAAAGGTAAAACGCAGTAAAGTAAAATGTTGTAGATAAACTGTAAAAGCATACCTGGGCATCTGCTACTGTTGCGTTATTAGTGTTGC